AACAGCGGAGCCGCAGCCGGCGCAGGATGCCGCCAGGGAGGGGAAGGAAACCGCGACCGCTTCACTGCGCCCGGCGCAGGAGGATGAGTGCGTTAGAGGCGGCGGGTGAACGGGCCCCGGGGCCTCGGTGACGGGCTGCTGGTGACAGCCGGACCCCATCGGCCCCTCCGGGACCGGGCACGGTGCACTGGCGTTGGGACCCCGGCGTTACCCCGGCCTGCGTGATGCAGATCGAGAGCTACAGACTGACGCCGCTTTTCCATAGCCTACAGCCATGAGTGGTTCCTGAGTCCAAGCATGAAAACGGGAAGCATGCTGCTTATTGATGGATTTTCATTTCACAGTTTACAGTTTCCACAGTACTCAGTAACAAGCAGAAGACAGACTCACATTAAATATCATCTAGAATACTGTCAAGATTGTCACGTTAAGTGCTTGATAAGAAACTCAAAATAAAAACAAATTTCTCACTGGAGTTCCTTTAACAATCTCTGTCTATACAACAGTAACATTCTACATTTGATACAACTTTGATATAAAAAACAGCTCTAAATGTCCATGATGGTGATGGATAGGATAATCGCCTGTTTTGCAGGTAGGTAAAAGATTCAGTAGCTATCCTAAAAGCACACCTCAAGTCTATGGTAGCAAGAAGGGTTTGGAGGAAAAAATAACTAACAGAGCTAGCCTAACTGTAAATATGGATGTATCCATCGTATGTGATGCCCTGGGCTGTTTTACTTAAGCTGCTCTATCTAACAACCTAGGAGACTAAAGTACTTAACCTTCCTTCAGAGCGTGTTTGACTAGTCCAGCTGACTAGGTGCTTAGTAACTGGGGAGCATGATTTCTATTGTTGTATCACCCCATGTGAAAAGAACCTTGCAAATTATTTGAGATACAGTTTCCAGCATTACTGATAAAATTATACTTCCCACCAACACAGACTTAGGTGTGCATGGATTGGAAAAAGTGCACCTTCAGTGTAAATGATAAAGGTCTAGCTGGCAAAACAAAAACAGTGTATTTTCAGTCTGAGTTAGCATTTGTAGTCCAGGTTCTCTTCCTGGGTCTATCACAGGTTACCTGTGCAGCACTGGAGGTGTCATCGTGCCATGGGAATGGTGCTCCATCGCATCCTTGAAGAGTTTCAGTATCTACCCCACTGAGATTGCCAGAGATCATAAGTTTTATGGAAATAATTTTCAAAACTTAAGCAGTTTAAGAAAGCTGAAAACAGTAAGCAGGACATGGAGTACCAGCTGTAGCACATGGCTATCATCCCAATGTAAGACAGCAAAAAGGAAATTAAATTGGAAAATACATTTGGTGTCATGATGCTTTCATAACTACTTCCACTACTTTGTGAGTCATCAGTACAAGTATATATGCACCCCCCCTACCTCCCCCCAAAACATGCACCTTTAATTTACAGGCTTGTAAATAATGAGGGATGAAGGATGCGAGATGAACATGTAGGGGAGACTTAACACAAAATGGTTTACAAGAGAGTAAGAGCTATGTTCCTTACAAATCTAGATCATACATGTAATTTGGAAGATACAGGCAAATGCTTCACACAGAGATTTTTCCTACTTTCCCTTTAGAGCCTGGAATCAACCTATATTGTCTCTGTTAAACCTGGCTCATAAAACCTTAGGTAAAGCTATGCGGATGAAGAACTGCAAAAAACATTACTGCCTTTGTGAGCAAAGAATTCAAGTGTTGGATTCATTTCAGAGAGAGAGGCTTGACCTACAATGCATGTGCCAAATTAGTATCTCACTCTGTGTCAGGATGGTTTGGGTCCAGAAATTCACACAGGCAAAAGTGAAAATTGTTAGCTGTGCTATACAATTAAGCGTGTACATCCTTCTCAGCTGAAGCTCAGGGTTATTTGTATCCTGCTTTAAAGTCAGACTGCTCTCCAATGGAGAGCGAGGATGTGATCTGTCATTCTCACTAAGCTGATTTAGTGGGGAGCCATTACTGAAAGGGGAGGAGGTGCAGGGGACACGGCTCTGCCCTCGGATCCTCACACGCTCCCCTGCAGCAGAACTGGTGGATCTCGTAACCCCATGGTAAGCCAGTTCAGAGATCCATCTGGTCAAATGCATATACAGGATCAAATCCCTGTGAGTTACCTGTTTTCTGTTTGCGGGGCTCCTTGAACCAGCTCACCGCAGGGCCTGCTCCACACCATTGTGGGTGTGAGAGCCACGACAGTGATGAAAGCTGCAAGACGCGCAGCGGGAGCGCGCAAGGGAAACGCTGCCCCGTTTGCACAGCTAAACAACAGACGGGCTTAATGCCATCAAAATGCAGCATTCTCAAGCAGCTGGTTGTCATACATATCTAGTGTGTGCACAAGAATGGAACTGTGGCGAGAAACGCTGAACAGGCAAAGCTCGGATTTTAGGATTTAGCACAAGTACTTACGCCAAAGCATCTTCCGTGTTCTAAATCAGATTCTGTCAGATCAACGCTGGGGATTTTTAAAGACGGAACCACCCAAGACAATATCACAGTGCTGGTGCCTCTATTGTGACTGCAGACTGGTCTAATGACTGAGAGGAGGCTCTGAATTTTGAAAAGCATAAAAATAAAACCTTATTGAGTCAGACCAGCTTTTGTCTAGTCCTGTAACCTCTCTGCAGCAGCTGAGTTAATGCCTATTATCAGTAAAAAACACACAATCCACAAACCGTCTGTCAGAGATTATAAGAACTTTCAAAAATAAATCTCATGTGGAAAGAGCTAAGCTTGAATCACAGTTTTGGTGGGCTCTGATTTCATCCTCTCTCATCAGAAAAATGACACAAGTTCATATGAAACACCACAGGGGCTTAATAACTCAAATTTTAAGCAGGTCCTATCCAGAACCAGCTACACTGGTGGGCGTAACAGCATGAAGTAAGGGGATAAAGAGACTTGGGGAAGCTCCTGGTGCCACTGCTTGTGCTGAAGGTGGGTCTGTGAAGAGGAAGGTCTTGCAGCACATTTGGGCAGTGCCCAAGTGAAGTGAAAAACTAAAACACTGTTCTAAAATCTAAAGGCTCTGCTGATCCAGCTGAAGGATGTACAGTCCTAACTGACTTCTCCAGTTTCCACTGAATAGGAAGGGTATTTGTGGTGGGTCTTCCATCGATAAGTGTGGAAATATCAAAGTCTCATTCTTGAACAAGACACCACATTTTGTAATTGTGGCTCTGACTGTACCAGGGATTATAACAAAAACATGACAGTCACTGCAGGCAAAATTGTTTGCTCGCTGCCCTATTGTCCGGCAGAGGGTCTCTTCTTCAGACCCGGCCAGATCAATGACTTCTATATGCGTGTCTCTCTTCTTGATATTGAGCAGAGACCTAGGAGGCATGTAGGTGTGAGCAAAGAGTAGAGTATAGTGGCCTGGATGGTTTGAGGACTCTGGAGAATGCACGAGTTGCTCCAGGTGAAACAAACATGGTATCAGTCCTCCCTGGTGTAAGCACCCAAACACCAAAGCCCCGAGAACATTGAAAAGAATAATGACGTGTTTCCACTTCACAGCTCGACTCTGTGATGCGCTGAACAGGACTAGTGGCAAGATAAGAGGAATGAGAAACCGAGGTTCTTGGTGACTGAATAGGGAGAGAAATGCCAAAGGAACAAAGTAAAACAGCAGTAATGTTGCATTGCCCTCAGAATGCACCAATAGCCCAGATGACCCATGGTGATACGATTTGACCCGTATTAATTGATGGATATATTTCTTTAACATTTGAAAACCAGCACCGATGGCCAGAATGTGTAAAATCCCAAAGAGCATAATTCCATTGACTGCAAGATGTGTAACTCGTGGGTGAATTCCATGCAGTGCAAGATTATGAGGGTTAAGATTATAGCTGAGAAAATTGAAAGGGGTTACGATCATTTTCTCATTTAATTGAGTTATTACATCAAATAGGCTGCTGTTTTTAATGCTGTAGAGGTTGTCTAAGCCCATGGAGGTAAAATAGAAGGTGTCGGCTGTTACAAAAACAACAGCAGTAAAACACGCACATAGGACAAGCTTCAATAAGTGGTTTATGACAGCTTTAATGCTCTTTTGAGAGTCAATAATTAAACCTGCCCAGTAAAGCAGGGGCATTAGGGCAAATGCCAAAAAGGTTGGCCTGTTGAAAAACCCAGCAGTCGTTACAATACCTATGAGAGGGCTGCTTGTAGGCTCTGCTCCGCTGCCATCAGACCTTCTTGAGGAGACCAATACCATCAGAAGAGCAAAGAGAAGTCCTTCCAGTGTGTTGGTAAACGTTCGTGTATAAAATACCAGAGTGACATAGGATCCAGCAAGAAGTACCAGCGCTTTCCATGGATCCGCTTCCCAGAAAGGAGCTAATCGATAAACACTATAGTCAAGTATGAAAGAAAAGACAGTAAAGAGAAGGCGAGGTGATACGAGAAGGGTGTAGCTGTTGATGCAACCTGAACATATGTCCAGCTGCTGCAAAGACTTGATCACCCAGTAGGTAACTCCAGATGTCATTAATGGGAAAACAACTGTTCTGCAAGGAAAGCTGGAAAGGAACTCCCAGGGATAATAGACCTGTAGGTTTAAAATGTCTCCTATAAAGGAAGAAAGAAATTTTTTTAAAAATACATATATACATATTTTATTCAGTAATTCAGCATTAGGGATACAGCTTAGTATAGGAGGCATCACAATGTGGAGCAGCCCCTTAAACTTTTGAGACTACTGCCAACATCGACGTTTTTTGGAGGATACCGTTAATCTTTACAAAGCTTCAAGGAAAAAAAACCCCAACCCAGCAGTCCATGACGGTGCCCGGGCTCCGGGCACGGCTGGGTGGGGACAGCCCACGGCACAAACCGCC